CCTTAAAGGGGAAAGGTTGCCTACCCCTGCCCTTCAACCTTGGTTTGATTGGAGATCAGTCACTCTCCAGGCAATCCATCCCAGGGTCAAACAGCTGATACCATCAGAACATCCCTAATATTTAGGTGGGATCTCCTTCTTTGCAATTTGAGATCATTGGTTCTGCGACCTGGGAGCCCTACAAAACAATCTTCTACAGGGCATCCCTTGTGATAGTTTATGGGAGTAATCCTGTCTCCTCTCAAATCTTATTTTCTCTCCTCAAAAGAACTCTGAGCTTTTCCTTCCCTGCCTGCTTTAGGGCTATTGTGACCACGCAAAGAAGATCCCTGCTGATCTCAGGCTCAGGTTTAGTCCTGCCTTCTCGCAAGCCACAGAAACCCATACGATCAAGTCGAGAATGGGAAGTGAGGGGTATTTCATTTTATTGGTTTGCCTGGAAATAGGGAAGGAGCGGGAGGAGGAATGTGGGCGACACAGAATCACAGCTGAATACAGGGAGGCTTCCTCTGGATCAAGGACTGAAACTGTTCTTTGTTAACGCTGCTTTGGGGAACATTTATACTCCACTTGAAAACGATTTCAACGTATATACCCTTCGTACTCCCCAGGAAACAAATCCCACTGAGATCTACAAGGCCTTTAGGAGCATGGCTGAGGATCAGAGTAAAAACAGCACTGAAAACAGAGGAACAAATGTCCTTTTTTTAAAGAAAAAGAGGCCTTTACTTGAAAATGAGGGCTGCTCTCTTTCAGCTGAACTTATTTCCCAGCAGACACATTTAGGACTGAGATGTGAACTCCTCAAAGTAGCACCACCAAGGCTCCGCTCTGGGGCTATCACGAACTACAATTCCCAGAACATTGAACCAAGCCAGTGAAAGTGGTGTCAACCTGGATTATTTTTCAGTGTGGATACGGCCTCTCTCTCTCTTTTTAATCCTTTTCAAGGGGGACGCTGATTTTCTCACCCGCTCCTAAACGTATTTCCTTGGAAGTACATTTCTCGAAAACCAATAGGAACTGACAAAAGGAGAGAGAGAGAGAGAAAGAAGGATGCCAGTCTTGCAATTGCTGGGTTTGCTTATGAACACGTAGTAGGGCATTGCCAAATAAAAGCCCCAAACACTCATTTCCATGTCAATCCATGCTTCCGAGGGATGCTCAAAATGGAGGAGACACTTTGTAATTCCTCCTGGACAGCAGGTGGAAATGTAGGACGTGTGCTGGGGAAAAAGGAGGACGTGTCTGGCTTTATTTAACAACTCCTCCAAATCTCGCTCTGTAAAAGGAAACCAACAATAGGAAAAGGGGAGGCGGAGTGTGTAAGTGTGTGTGGTTGTGTGTGTGGTGAGGAACCCCATAGAAATGCATGTCTCTAAAAAATATTGACAAGGGTAATAATAGCCTCCTGGCGAAGAAGAGCTTGCGCCGCGAGGTTTCTTTTTGTGCTGGAGAGATATTTTATTGCCGGGTAATTATTCCCGATTTCCCCCTCCTAACGAAGGAGGGCTGTTAAGGGAAAACGCTGCCAGAATCTATTAAATGTCGCCCAGGCAGAATTGAAGTCAAACTGCTGCTGGGTTTACACGCCCCCTGTTGGAAAAGAGCTTGTAATTAGGGGGAGAGGATGCAAATCAGGGCCCAAAAAGAGAATGGGGGGGGGGGGGCGACACCAGAAAAGCCAAAAAGCATCCTCCTTTCTTCCCTTGATGCAAATCAGGTTGCATTGAAACGGCCGGCAGAGAGAGATGGTTACACAACGTGCAGCAGATGTTACTTTCCTCCTTGAATTTTATTTTTTTTTGGGGGGGGGGGAGAGAAAAGAGGAGAGGAAGCCTATGGGAAACAGAGGGAACCCTCCCCTCGCCTACTTTTTTGGGCTTTAAATACCTTGGTTCGCGCTCTGCGTTGGCTATAGAGAACTGCGCTGAAAAGCTCAGAGGCGAAAGGTTCCGATTGTATGGCATTTTATGGTCATTTTAATGTTGTAAGCCGCCCTGATTGCCCTGCACAGGGGCGGGATAGAAATAAATCTGATGATGATGATGATGATGATGATAATGATAATGCATCCTTCCTATTGTTGGCTTCGATTTACAGAGCGGGATTTGGGGTTTTTTGGAGAGGTGGAGAGGGGAAGTTAGTGAAAGCCAGGGTGACCAGACACGTCCTCTTTTTCCAGGACATCTCCTACATTTCCACCTTCTGTCCAGGAGGAATTCCAAAGTGCCCTCCATTTACAGCATGGCTTTATATTTCTGTGCGTGCTTATATTTCTTGAGTGTTTCCTTTTGTCGTGTCGTGCCCTACCTTTTTCTTGACTGCCCTACATTTTGCGGTGCCTGGTCCTCCTTTGCGGTGAGGACATTTGGTTGAAGGAGGTTGTTCCTCTGGCTCACAGATGATGTGCAATTTACACAAGCTTTCCAGATGGATCTATGTCTTCCTCAAAGAGGAAGAGAATGGAGGCTGGAGTTGGAATCTTAAGCATCTTTTGTTGTTGTTGTTGTTGTAGTTGTGTGTGCCCAAGTCATTTCGGACTTGTGGCGACGCTACCATTGGGTTTTCTTGGCAAGTTGCTCCAGAGGGGGGTTGCCATTGCCATCCTTTGATGCTGAGAGTGTGTGACTTGCCCAAGGTTACCCAGTAGGTTTCCATGGCCGAGCAGGGATTCGAACCCTGGTCTCCAGAGTCAAAGTCCATCGCTCAAACCACTACACCCCGCTGGTTCTAAGCATGTTTGCCTGGAAATAATTTACAACTAGTCACTTACTTCCAAGGAACTAGGGTTAGGTCAAGCATCCCGTAAACCTTGACTCCCCGTTTCTCTCTGTATGGAAATACACCCCAGACTTTAAACTTAATTCATTGGCATTTACATGGGGGGAATGGATCTAAGATTGGGATGTTCCTAGAATTTGCCATTATATTTGTAACTAGAAACCACATCAGTTAGTGAAAATTTGCTTGTTTATTACTTCTAAGTTCAGAAATAGAGATTCTACAGGAAAGGTATTTAGTCTGAGGGCCTGAACAGACTGCCAGAAATAATCCAGTTTGAGACCACTTTAACTGCCCTGGCTCAATGCTAGGGAATCATGGGAACTGTATTTTTTTTTTCTGAGACATTGAGCCTTCTCTGTCAGGTAGCTCTGGTGCCACAATAAACTACAATTCCCATGATTCCCTAGCACTGAGCCAGGGCAGTTAAAGTGGTCTCAAGCTGGATTATTTCTGGCAGTCTGTTCAGGCCCTGAGACCCTCCTTTCCTATTTCCTTTATTGAACAGGAATAAGGATTTTTTAATTGATTAACTCCTTGCTCACATGTTGGCTTAATGCCTGAAACATCTCCACATCCACTTTCTAATATCTCTTGTGGTGGGTGTAGAAGCTGCAGCTTCTTCTCTCCATTGTCATCCTGATTCCAATATATTGTGCAAATCAGAATATTTTGCTGTAGACCACTTCTACTTCTGTGTGCAACCAGATCCCAAAGGGCTAGATTAAAAAATTGGATTTTTGGTTGCATGCAGACTCCCTTCCACTCCTCCAGAGAAAGACCAGACAGTGGTTAGTTGGCTATAGAAAAATGGCATCTAGAGACAGATTAAAGCAGGGGTAGGCAACCTTTTCGAGCCGGGGGCCGGGTTGCTGTCCCTCAGACAATTGGGGGGCCGAAGCACCAAAAATAAATAAACAAATAAATAAATAATGTAAAAAATAAATAAACAATATAAAAAAATATGCATGCACACTCTCTCAGCCCCAAAAAAGCCATGGCAAAACCCCTGTGGAGATTTTGCCAAGAAAAACCCAAGAACAAGTAATAACAACAATAATTAATATCATCATGGTGGGCATTGGCATCAAGATCGGCCTGGGGCTGGTCCAAAGGCCTTGGTGGGCCACATCCGGCCCCTGGGCCTTAGGTTGCCTACCCCTGGATTAAAGTATGGCCTGGCTCCCACACAAGCACACAGGTATTCGTAGGTGAGAGCTATTTGCCTTAATGTATTTTATCCAGATGGGCTTGTGAGGAGAAAGACAAGATTGATCAGATATGTAACTGACCAAAAGCTAACTTATTTGATAAGGAATTGGCAAAACCACCTCTGATATTCCTTGCCTAAGAAACCCTGTGAAATGCATTGAGTAGCCATAAGATTGGGGACTTCAAAACACACAGAGAAAGAGAGAGAGAGAGAGAGAGAGAGAGAGAGAGAGAGAGCACAAAGCAAAACTGGATGACCAGGAATCACTATTAAAATATAAAAATTAATATGCTTTTCATTTACTTCTTGGAGATACTTGCTATTTAAATCTGAACCATGGTTATTGCATGGTAGGGGGTTGGATTGGATGGCCTTTGTGGTCTTTTCCAACTCTGTGATTCTAAGATACTAGATTTTTAGGTGTCCAAATGGCCTGCTCTATCTCTAGGTTTGTGGCAAATAACCTTTCATTCATCGTAACTAATCCTGAGATTTTTCAGTATGTTGCAGAGATGCAAATGAGGAAACCTGGACTGGCAAACAGACCTGAAAAGCGACCCATCCCTGTCGGATATGTTCACACACATCCATCCATCCCATCCTTTTTTCTGGTTCTTTTTCTGAACCCAGCCAGAGTGCTTTCCTAGAGGGAGGGTCTACTTGGAAGACAAACCCACACTACCTCCTTTCTTCCAGACTCAGAATGGTGGTTGTGCTCTGCGACTGATTCCTACCCTGACACTTTTACATCTTTGTTGGGGGGGGGGGAACCCTCCCTGCTTGCAAGGAAGTTAATTTCAACAACACCCTGGACTTCTCTGGTTCCTTAGACTGACTGCCAGGACAGGATTCAGACCAAACCTTGCAAGCAAGCTTCCTATCTGTCTCCCAAGCCCTCCTTCCCAGCTCCAGGGCCCTCACTGCAATGCCACCCCGAAGGAAGGAAGGAAAGAAGGAAGGAAAGAGCCACGTTTTCTGCGGTGCCAGGAATGGCAGGAGGCTGAAACTGAGGCCAAGACGCAGCTATTCCGTGCACGACCACAAGCAGCTGAGGCCCACCGTGGAGATGGGAAGCTGGATTCCTATCTCCACCGGAGAGCAAACACTCCTGGGGAGGCTTTGCATGCTAATGGACTGCGGCTCTTACACTATATAGCCTCCCAAAGCACCTTCCCTGTCTCTTCCAAGGCTCCCACCTCAGGGGTTTCTTTGCAAATGGGCTGCAAAGCCTAGGAAGGGCACACACTCTCTGCAAAGAAGAGACCCCTCCCCACAAGGACCTCCCTCCCCTCCAGGAAAACACCCCGGTGGAATACATTGGGGTCTCTCCGCTTTATAAAGAAATGGTGCAAATTGAATCCACTTTTAGGGTTAGGGATAGTGCTAGGGAATCATGGGAATTATTTTTTTCTGAGACACTGAGCCTTCTCTGTCAGAGAGCTCTGATGCCACAATTAAATACAGTTCCCATGATTCCCTAACCCTAACCCTAAAAGTGGACTCAATTTGCACAATTTCTGGCAGTCTGCAACCCCCCCTTAGGGCCTAAGCAGACTACAAGAAATAGTGCACATTAAATTGAGGCACTGCCCTGGCTCAGTGCTAGGGAATCATGGGAACTGTAATTTATTGTGGCACCAGAGCTCTCTGACAGAGAAGGCTCAATGTCTCAGAAAAAAATACAATTCCCATGATTCCCTAGCACTGAGCCAGGGCAGTGCCTCAAATTAATGTGCACTATTTCTGCTAGTCTGCTTAGGCCCTTAGTCTCTCACCTTTTGCCAATTCATTGCTGGCTATCGAGGGAAGGAATCATAGAATTACAGAGTTGGAAGAAACCTCAAGGGCCATCCAGTCCAACTCCCTGCCCTGCAGGAAATCACAATCAAAGCATCCCCGACAGATGGCCATCCAGCCTCTGTTTAAAGAGAAATCAACCTTGCCGCCGGAGTATTGCTAACCAGGGTAAGTGGATGTCCTCGCTGCAAAGGGGGACCAGGCTCTGCAAAATGTAGGACATTCAGGAAGAATGGAGGGCATGACAAAATCAAAGCTACCAACACTCATATAAATATGTGAGCCGACTTGGGTCCCGTTCTGGGAAAAAGGCGGCGGAAAAATGAATAGAATAGAATAAAATAAAATAAAATAAAATATAAACTGATCCTTCTTAGTCATGCTCAACTTGTTATGAGGAAGACCGCCTGACAGAAGGATAGGGCCTTTGCAGACTGCTAGGAATAGTGCAAATTGAGTCCACTTTA